GAGCAGGAGCGCCCTCCTGGCCGCCACGTGCCAGAAGCCATCCCTCGCTGGCCCCCGCCTGCCATCCCCACTAACAAGGAAGGGGTACAGCCGAGGCTGCTGGTGACCTGGTGGGCGCCCGGCCCTGCCCTCACCATGAGGCTGCAGGGTCACCTCTGGAGCCGGAGACTCACCCTCCCCGGCTGAGAACAGGAGCCGGCTGCTACCGGGCATGGCCAGCCAGTGCGTCTGGGTTAGGGGACGGTGCACACACAGATAAATGCACACAAAGTGCGGTGCCCAGCACAGAGCAAGGGTCCCAACAGCAGGTGTGCGATTACCTGGGGACGCCGCTTCCCCGGCTCCGCTCCATGAGCGCCGGACTTTGTTTCCCACTGAAATGACACATCTTTGGGGTGTGCTCTGGTCTGTGTCCACCAGCTGTCCCTGCGTCTGCAGCCCCAGGGCTCCAGCAGTCATACAGCCCCTCCCTCCTCGGGCCACCCAATTCCAAGTCTACCAGCCGCCACCCCCCAGCCTGCCCTGCACCCCTCCCCCAGTCTATCACCCAAGCGTACCCCCCTCCCACCCCTCCGCCTCTGCACTGCCACGTGGCTACCCAGGACTGTGCCTCGGCCTAAGGCCACCGGCGACACCGGCCCGCAGAGAAGTCAGCAACCACATTTGGATGCTCAGATTCACACTCACTCCCCTGCTTCCCAACTTCCCAGAGCCTTCATGCCACTGCGCTCAGAGTGAAAGCTGAGGGCCTCCTCCTGGCCCCCTCCACCAGGGACCTGCCCTTCCCGCTGTGCTGGCTCCGGCCCCTCCACACCAGGCCCTGTTCACTCCAGAAGCCCTGTCGCCAGGCAGGACCTCTGCACCACTGGCCCGTCTGCCAGGGTCGTTCCTGCCATCTTCAGGCTGGCCTTCGTGCTGACCGTGCCCCGATCACAGAATCTTCGCTGAGCACTCAGGCTGTGGCGGCACCGGCTTCCACCCTCAGCACGTCTTCTCCTCCACGGGCACCTGCCACCTCCTGCCAGCTCCCAGAGGACGGACTGCACGCGTCGTCTGTCCCCACACCAAACATCAGCTCCTGAGGGCAGGGACCCCGGGGTCTGGTTCCCTGTTTGTCCCCAGCACCCACCCCCACAGCAGGTGCTCAATGAATACTGGTCAAATGAAGAACTCCATGGGCTCCTCAAGGAAATGACCTCCAAAGTCACCCGGACCCCGCAGGGCAGGCCCCACCCCCTTGTGGCTGATGAGACAGGAGGCTGAGTCACCTCCCACACAGGCTCCCCCTCCTGCCACCACGGGACCCTGCAGGGCGGTCCCCCAGCCCCAGGCCCAGAAGGCACTGAAGGCAAACCCTCAGTCCTGGGCGAACACCTCTGCATCACCCCCTCTCCTCCCCACGGCCACCCCTCCACCCGGGGGCCCAGGTGCTCATGGGGAACCGGGCTGTGCCCGTGCCCCTGGTCTTGCTCCCTCAGCGCTCGCGTCCGAGTGTCCGGTGCCAGGACCGCCCGCCACACACCAGATGACCTTGGGGCCCCGCTGCTGTGAGCGGTCACCCCGCCGGCCTCAGGACATGCACGTTTGCATGCGGCCAACTCACACGGATGCACATGACAGAAATGAAAGCCTCCAAGTGTCATTTTCTTGGACTTTGAAGCAGTAGCCTTTGTACGAGTGAATATTGAGTGGATGCTAAGAGCAGAATGAGCTGTTAAGTTCTATTTGCTACTTTCGTCCCCGGGCTCGTAACAGAACACACGCTAGACAAAGAAGAACAGCTCGGACGGATGAAGTGACATTCAGCGGGCGGAATTGTTTCTGGGGTACTTCCCACGTCAGGATTTGCTTCTCCAACATGGGCAAATATTTGCCACTTACGTCCCGTGAACGTAATACAGTCCTCTGTCCTCCGGAGCTACCTTAAAGGCCTACGAACACAGGCAATTCACTGGCTGCGTTTCTCCTGCCACTAAATACAAATCCAGCCCTTGTTTCACTGTGAAAGCTTTGGTTTTAGCTTTTGGTGTTAGATTTGATATTTAAGTAGAATTCTGAAGAAAGGGGAAAACCCGTAATCCCACAACCTGACACGAGAAGGACTTCTGCGTGCCAGCCTTTCAGTCTGTCCTTACGTGCTCGCGTTTTCCCGCAAGTCTTGAGAGCTTGATTTTTAAGTGTAATTTTAATGAGAAGGCAAATCAATTGAGTGAGTTCCCACCAAAAACACCCGCCGGAACCGCATCAGGAGGAACGTGGAACAAGCCACTCCAAGGGCCGCCCTCCTCAGAGGGCACCACTCGAGGGCGGCCCCGCTCCAGCTCCCGGAGACGGGACGGCTGCCGATCCTGCAGGGATGCTGGGCCGGGAGGGAGGCACACAGGAGGGTTTGGGAAGGCGGGCGGCGCGTTAGCTGACGGTGCCCTGTCGACGTGAAACTTCCTGACTTTGACAGCCAAACTGTGATGATATGGAGAGGACGGCTTTGTTCTCAAGAAGTAAGGAAGTTCTGAGGAGCAGAGGGACATGATCTCTCCAGCTGACTCCAATGCTCAGGAAAAACACGGATCCACGTCAGCGCGTGCATACACACACACACACACACACACACACACACAGTCAGCGCGTGCAACACACACACACACACACACACACACACACAGAGAACAAAATGTAAACAACTGGCGAATCTGGGTAAAGTGTCTATGGGAGACCCTGGTACTGTTCTGGTGGCCTTTCTGTAAATTTGAAATGATGTCAAAATTAAAAGTTGAACACAACCTGTGGCCGGGCCATGTGTGGGAGGAGACACTGGAACCATGCGCTGGAGGCGCAGGGGAGCTGCGGAAGGGGCAGGGCTTGTTCTCCCTGCACGCCCTTCTGTGCCATGGACTGTGTAACCTGCACGAGCGCCAAGACCCTCCAGGCGCCTCCTCCAGCCTCAGGAACCAGGCCGGCTTCAGCTTCCCAGGCTCAGCCCCGCCTGGCCGCCTCCATCCGTGAGCCTCATGCGCCACCTGCTGGCCACGCGGGGCACCGCCTACCCAGGCCCCAGCCCTCTGAGCGCAGCTGAGTGACCTCAGGACCAGGCCACCTGCATCCCCTGAAAGCCCCAGCTCCAGCAAAATGAGGAGCACTCAGCAAAGAGGAGACACAGAAATGAAAGGACACAGATCTGGGTGGAATTCCAGCAGCACGTGAGAGCAAGCACGGGCCTCAGAGCCTGGCTGCAGAGCACCCACGAGGGGACCACGCCCCCCGAGAACCACGCTGGCGACCGTCCCGGCCCCTGCTGGCCCCTCCGCCCAGGCCATGCCGTGGCCCCTGCCCCCTGCAGTGCTCAGACTCCACGCCAACCCGCAGCCCCAGCAGGAAGGTGCAAAGTCCGCAGTGGTCAGGGTCTCCGATGCCCACCAGCCCCACGAGCAGCATGGACAGTGAGGACAAGCCCCCGGCCAGCCCGCAGGGCAGCAGAGAGTACGACTGGGGAGTGGGGAAAACGAGCAGAAAGTGCTTATCAAACAGCATCGGGAGCACAATTACGAACGCATCGGGAAGTCAACCTTCAGGACGGACGGCACTCATAGTGACTTGGGGGCATCAAACACCACAGACTGGCCTCTTAGGAGCTAAGTCACACGGGAAACACTCGCGTTAAATGACAGCAGACGGGGCCTGGCAGGCCGGACCCCCGAGACCAGGCGAGCGGCACGGACTTCCCATGGGGACTCACCGAGGTCTGTGTGGGGCCCGGCCAGGAGCTGCCTGAACTTGTCCAGCCGCGACGCCTCTCTCTCACTCAAGGCTGCACCACCGCCGCTGCAGGTGCCGGGCTCGGCCGCCCCTCCCAGCGTGCCGCTGGCCGAGTAGGGAAGGGACTGGGACCGCTGCAGAGGGACAGTGTCGCTGGCGCTTCCTGCGGAGGGAGGCAAGGACAGACGTGAGGCCTCCTGGATGCCCCGCACCTCACTCCCCACTAAGGAGGCCTCACACTTGCTGTGCCGCCCTCCCCTGGTGGATGCACGATGGCCCCTCCCTCCATCGCCAAGCAGCACAGACCTGAGGGAGAACGTGGAACCAGCTGAGGGAGCTGCCCCGACGACCAACAGGCCCAGAGGCCTGGGGACTGAAAACAGGCCCGCGCTCTGCCTGCTCCTCAGCTCCTGGGTCAGCTCCCCGCGGCAGGGGCTCACCCTCAGCTCTGTGCATTTTAGGGCTGCAGGGTTCTGGGTGTGGGGAGTGGGGGACACGCTGGGCACTGAGGATGCACCCCCTGCCCCAGCCCACCCCATGCCTATAGCACACACCCTGCCCTAGACATGGCAATCAAAATGTACCCAGCCACGGCCACATGGCCCCTGGGGCTGAGAAACCGTGCTCTAGGCCGACGAGGCCAGTGCTAAGAGCAGGGCCTCTGGGGTCTGGCGCCCTGGGCGTGAGGCGCGGCCCTGGGAAAGCTCTGCACTGCCCCGCCCCTAACCTGCACACATTTCCCAGGGCTGCGCAGACTGTAACGAGTTCATGAACCCCAAGGCCTTGCTAGGGTACTGGCCAACACAGTGAGTGATCGATAAATGCTAACCATTAGTATTATAAATGCAGGACTCACGAGGCTTGCCTGGAAAGCAGGCAAAGGAAAGGGGGCCACCTCCCAGGCAGGCGTGGGCAGGAGGCTCCTCCCCTGGCACAAGCTGCGGGGAGCGTCCTTCACTACGCTCTCACGGGAGGAGGCCGTCCTAGCGTGACATGCCAAGGCTCCCACCCTGGCTGGATGCCGCCCAGTCTTGCCTCCGGTCAGGGTCCCCCCATACACCACACACCACAGACTGAATGTTGTGTGTCCCCCCCACATACATACGCTGAGGCCCTACCCCCACCACAGGGTGGCATCAGGAGGGCCTGGGGGAGGTGACTGGAGGTCAGGAGGGTGGAGCCCTTGCGAATGGGATCGGCGCCCTTACAGGAGCCACGAGACAGCTTCCTCACCCTCAGCTCTCCACCACCTGAGGCTGTGATGAGACAGTGGCCATCTGCAACCCAGGAGAGCTCCCCCAGAACCCAACCCTGCCAGCACCCTGACTTCGGACTTCCAGCCTCCAGACTGTGAGACAAATTTCTGACCACTCTCAGCCAAGAGGACCCCCCACCTCCAGGCGTGCGCCAGCCACCGCCAGAAACTGCCTAGCGGCCTGAGCAGCCACCTCTGTGCCTCGCAGGCTGTGGCGTCAGCAGAGCCCACCAGCAGCCGGAACCCAGGGTGCCTGGGGACGCCGAGTCACAGGGGCCGAGCGCACCGGGCCGGGCACACAGGAGGCAGTCGGCAGGCATGCCTGTCACTAGTCACGGAAATTTCCATCAACTGTAAAAGCCCTACCTGGACCTCCTTCCATTTTTAAGCTCAAATACTTTAAAGTTCACACCATTGAAAAAAAATAGTTTAGATTCCAACACAAAAACTGACCAAATGAAATAATTCATAGGATTCTCACCTAAGAAGATTGTGACATTTTAGAAGTTAATTCCTGAAAAGTTTTTGAAATACGGCAATTTCTAGTTTTTGAAAACTGGACCTAAGTACGAAACCTAGTTCTGCACCCACCGGGGAGGGGGCGATCTGAGGCCATGACAACGACCTCGCTCTCTTATCTGCCGTGAGGGGAGGGCGCCCTAAGCCCTAGAAGACCTTGGGTCTGAACCCGGCAATTCCGGAGAGGAGCCCCCATCCCTCCTGACCCTGAGCCCGTGTGTGTCCCTGGAGGGAATCACCAGAAGCGGCCCGAGGAGGCCAAGCCCCTGAACGTGCGGCTGGCCCGGCCCTTCCACTGGAACATCCTCCTGGAGCAGCCAGGATATCCTCAAAAGGGCAGGGTCCCCCAAGCAGCCCACAAAAGCTCCACCTACCACTCCATCTGGAGGGGAGATGTGCTTAGCTCGGGGGGGGCACAGAGAGAGGGTACAGGACCCCCACCACTGCGATCTGAGAGCCTTGGAGGGCAGGGACCCCTGTTCGTTCCCACCCCACAGTGAGAGGTCTCCAGCTCCTCCTTCTGCCAGAAACACAGGGTCCCTGCAGCCCTCTCCCACCTGCGGGGCAGGATGTGTGGCTCTCGCTGACGGACTTCACCAGCCGGAGGTCACCACTCGAGGCTGGGGGAGGCTCCGTGGAAGGCTGGGGCCGGGGCTCGGGCCCCAGGGCCTCAGG